TATTCCAAATTTAAATGCAGTGTATCATAGACAATTGTATGTGGACAGCACCATGACCTTCCAACAGTATTTCCGAACCGACTTAAAAGGCCTGTAGCGCGCTTGTGAGCCTTCTGGCAGTGCCATGGGCGGCGGTATCACTTAACATCAGATGGGCCTCCTGCCCGTTTGCCTCCTGTAACATAAAAAACGACTTCGTCGATTTATTATTTTTTGATTGATTATTTATAAAATACTTATGGTTGCCACCATTAAATGACACCGAATTCATTTTTCTGATGTTAGCTGTTCTTGTCCAAGTTGCGCTTCCTATTCTCTTTAAAAAAGAGATGACATGGAGAAATGTAATAACACAAAATCTATTTCAATTTCAATAGTTATTTCAGAACCTAAGCAAGCTTCGAATGAAAATTCCTTCAAATAAATCAAATACATAAGAATTCATATATTCCGTCTCTAGGTTAACGACCTCACATCTCGGCACGTGGATTTTATTATCAAAGCTTTAAGTCGCGAAGATTTTCTACCTTGTTAATACCGAAAACCATATTTTTATAAAATCCTATAAAAATCTATATCTAAAAGCTAATGCTTGATCACTTTTATTTACAGGCAAGTGATCAGCCTTCTGTGCCACGCCATCGGAGTTAATCCTGGTTCCTTTACGATGGTGTCTTTTAAGCGGGATTCGAACTCTGTACCTCAGGCTTCAGTCACAAAAAAATTGGTATAAGGGTGAATTTAGACATATTAATTTCTAAAGTCCGATGTTATTTCTGCAATGCTATTTCTTTCCAAGATAATGAGACACGACACAAACAAAATTGTTTCACCGGAAACCGATCCCGTGATAGTGACGGATGAACTGTGACTTATGTGAATAATGAATTGTGTTGTGGCGTCCTAGTGGATGGGTCAGTCTTCTAAAAGCCACTTGGGCGATTGCAGAATTCTCAGAGGCCTCACACCGACCTGGCCGATCGAATATTAAACTAATATTAACAAAAAAAAATCCACAGGCACAGAATTCAGTTACCGTGACTATACCTATTAGACACTTTTGTAGCGAATCTGTAGCAAAAAATCATCAAAATAGACAATACAATAAATTATCAAAACAAGAATTAAACAAATTATTTCTATATTGTAAATAGAGAGAGAGATATAGATAAAGAGCAATGTTAGCCTAGTGGCTTCAGCGTGCGACTCTCATCCCTGAGGCTGTAGGTTCGATCCCCGGCTATGCACTGCAATGGACTTTCTTTCTATGTGCGCATTTAACATTCGCTCGAACGGTGAAGGCAAACATCTTGAGGGTACCGGCTTGCCTTAGACCCAAAAGTCGTCGGCGTTTGTCAGCCACAGGAGGTGATCACCTATAGATTGACAAATGATCATAAAACCGATACAAATATCTGAGGTTGAGGCCTTGTTGTAGCCACTAATTTGCAAATAGTATATTATGATATTATAAATATTTCAATTGTTTTTAATAATAATACAAAGAAGTAGTTATAGACAAACTAAACAAATTTAAAAAGTTTGGTCCCTGTGGCAGTGTACGTGTATCTTTAATGCCAGCGTTTCCACGCTGTATTGCGATCTTATTCTTTTTGACACATTTTGACAGCCGATTATGCAGTTCATTGTACCAAATGGCAAATTATAATGATTATATTACCAGTACCTATACTACACGAAAAACTTACCGTTCCAAAGAGCAATTCCCCAACAAAACACGGCGCAATTTTCTCGCCCCTTGAGTGAAAACTTAAAAACGTTTAACAATGAATCAAATAAAACAAGCGCTGACGGATCGGCACAAGCGTATATCCTAAAACTATCTCATACCCCGACTTCGCCCAACCACCCCACGCTTTCACGGTTCTAATTTTTGGGGAATTTGGGGCATATTCGTAAATATGAAATGGAAAAAATATTTCGCGGAAAATCTAATTTTATACCTTATCTCCAGTTGTTAAAGTACATTTTGTATTGATGTGTTGTTGGAAAAAAATTACTTCATATGTCGTCCTTAAGACGGAGCGCCTCGCGCTACGTATGTGTGTTTGGAACTAGGGTCCTATGGAGTCTCGATTGATCCTACATTTTTTGCATAACTTTATTTTTTTAATGTTCAATTTATACTTACACCTTTAAAGAAGAGAAACTTTTAACTGATTATTTTACCAAAACCGTACTATTAATGATTAAAGATTTATGGTTAACAATAAAAAAAACATTTGTGGGGTCTGCCGTCTCCTAATCTCGAAAATAGTTCAATCCGTATCGTTTCATGAGTAATTTTATCCTCTGACAACATTGGTAAACAATCTCTGATTTCTTTCTTAATATTACATTTTTTAATATGCACAAGATGTGCTATAGGCTATATATTTGTACGCTATTTTAGAAACGATATAATTACTACAAACAATATGTATTTGTTATGCTGATAATACAAATAAATCAGTGGCGCTACAACCTCTTTAGGTCTTTTCCTCAGATTTCTAAATCTGTTTCATGATCATTTTAAAATCTAATAGGCAAGTAGGTGATCAGCCTTCAGTGCCTGACACACGCCGTCGACTTTTTGGGTCTAAGAAATGTCGGTTTCCTCACGATGTTTTTCCTTCACCGTTCGAGCAAATGTTAAATGCGCACATAGAAAGAAAGTCCATTGGTGCACAGCCGGGGATCGAACCTACGACCTTAGGTATGAGAGTTGCACGCTGAAGCCACTAGACCAACACTGCTGATAATAGTACATTTTATTTTCTTTAATTTACTAGTTCTATTCTCAAACCTGAGTTCATAATTAATCATTTATGCAGATAATAATAAAATTGGGAGGAAATCGACTTGTCTAATTTATGGTTGTCGTATGTCTACCATCACTGCTAGCACGGTTGATCACGCCCCTTATCGTTCTTACGAGCGCTCAATCCCGTATAAAGGATTTTTTTAAATAAACTCACAGCTCACTCAGCTTTTGTAGTCAATACGTCTTTAAATTTGCTACCATAAGGGGCCAATCGAAAATACCTTGACATATACATACAAAATTGGGGGAAACAGTTTGGCGTTGTAGTTTCCAATCTATCCTCTACATCCAAAATTAAATTATAACACTAGATAGCGAAAGAATCCAATAACATTACGATAAGGGAGAAAAGAGACGCATCGCGTGCGGTGGAGAGGTGAGCCATTTTGAGGTTGTTTAGCTGCATATCGAGATTTGCAATTAGTTTAACTTTTGACTCGGAAAAGCTACGATGTTCGTTTTAGTTTTAATCATCAGCTGTCATCAAAATCTATCGATTATAACGTTAAATACGTTTAACACATGTCCGTGACACCATTTTTTTAATGCAGAAGAGCCTGTGAGTCATCTACTAACGTAAAAATGATTACCCATACATACTTATACTATTTTTAAACACATAAACACTATAACATATAAAACCTAAGTAGCCAAATGATTATAATACATTACAATCCATTATCCAACACCATAAACAATTAAGTGCCAATAAAAAAGCGACTCTACGCCATTCCTATTCCATCAAGCAGCAATATATAGCGCAAGATGTAGCTATGCGAAATATATAATATTTTCGTATATGTTTGTTCCATCATTTATACTTTATTACTATATAGCCGAACAACTATTCATACGTAATGTTTGTCTCTGAATGTGTGTGTGCACAAAGGGAGAGCTCAATTAAACATTTCCTTAATAAGAACTGAGAGATTTAGATGTATTATTTTTTCTCCGATATAACGTATTAGCGATCGTATGGGATTACATATGGAATTGTGTGCTATATTTATGACTGGTTTTAATCGTAATTATAATAAATATAAAAAGTATTAGCGTGGATTTGTTTTTCTATGAGCCCAACACTTGCTCGAACTGTGAAGGAAACCATCCTGAGAAAAGTAGTATGACTTAGACTCAAAAATCGATGGCTTACGTGAGAAAGCTGAGACCTATAAAGACAAAAACATGGAAACAAACTACTTGGTTAAAACAACCTTAGTGCCTCTTATAGACAATAAGTTATTACAATGATAACTTAATTTCTACTAATATATTATTAAAACACTCACTCGTTAACCATAGAGGCAGTGTCAAAATATATTGGTAAGTATACTTACCAATGTCAATTTTTTTTATCAAATGACTCAAAAGAAAATTAACATTTACTGTATTTCTCAAATCGAGGACGAAGAACGTGAAGAATTGGAAACATTATCTCTCAGCTACTATTTATATTGGCCAACTATTTCAATTTACAAGATCATTGTTAGGAGCTCCAACCATTACGTGCATCTGCACATAACACGGATATAATACAATCATAATAATTGAAAATTAAATCAAATACAGTTCTTTAAAGAACTCGAAACGTCGATTATTCGTCGTAAATATTGTATTTGTTCATTTTAACAGCTCTTAAAACTAAAAATGTTTATTAAACCAGTTTACTGCAGCGCCATCTATCCGTAATACTTAAAACTACTATACTTTAGTAAAAACAGTTGAACTTTTTAGAATCAAGTTAATTTATTATACAGTTGCACACTAGAGGGCAGATTGTTCAAATTGATTGATATTTTAAAAGTTTTGTAATTATTAATCATAATATATATTATTCCAAATTAATAAGAAGTTGTGTTAAACTTTTTAACGTTGTTCGGCATCTCGTATATTTATATATATATATATCTTTATAAATTATGTAGTTAAATACTAAGTAAAATCTTTGAAAAAGTCCCATTGCAATACTTCATATTGCAAATTCAGAACACAGAACAGAACAGAACTGTAATCTATGGCGGCAATCTTAAAGTAATTTCATCAATTTTGACACAATAATAAATCTTGTCACAAAGATAAAATAAAAATGTTAAATAAAAAAACAAAGCCATAACTAAAAACTATCGTAATGATTAAATAATCGAAATGATTAAAAACATCTCTTTAAAATCACTAAATGAAAACACAAGAAGACCAATGGATGCCCTGCCCGCAAATTGAAACAAAATACCCAGGATTAGCATACTTATGTCCTTTAAACGAATTAATTGTAGCGAAAAAACGCGACTCATTACACAATTTGTTCGGCAACAATATTATTGGCTACACAATATACAATGGACAAGGTCAAAAAGTTTTTCTCGCTGTTCAAAGGAAGGAAACCAAAAAAGAAATTAAAATATTCAATAGCTATGGAAACGAAGTCATACATATGCAAAGACGAGCGTTTTGCCTCAACAAGATATTAGTATGGACGCCACCTGGTAGATTCGTGGGGTCAGTGCATTCTAAATGTTTGAGAGTTTTTATTAAAAACTACAAAGGAGATGTATTAAAGATTAAACCGAGGGGTATATTTTGTTGCGCTCGAGACATATTCTCAGAGGGTGAACGGATTGGCGAAGTGGCGACGAGGAAATGCTTACACAGCATCAAAAGTGACGTCAGTGTAGTTTTTCCGTTTGAATTGGATGTCGAGCTTAAATCTATTTTGCTGGGAGCGTGCTTTCTCATCGGTTACTAGTTTATAAAAGAATATTGAACTGGTTATTTTTAAGGGGTGAGAAAACAAGAATCTGCTCCCATTTACAAGACTAGATAACCTTGAAAATTCATTCCTTTGATGACATATTTAATTGAATAAACTGTTTTACAGTGATTTAAATTTGTCAAGCCCTCCAAAAAGGCAATAAAACATGTTTTACTTTTTATCGTTTATTAAATGAAAAAATCAGTCTTAAGAATTGAATGATTACTTATTGATAATAATTAAAATTAGATTAGCGCTTCTTTTTCTTCTGTGGAGATTTTACCTCTTCCTGACCGTTCTGGACTTCATCATCACCACCGCCAATCTTCCTTCGAACCGGACCGGTATGAGTTATTGGAATGGTTCGTTCATCTTTTTCACCACTTGTTTTTGGGGCTGTGATTGTTAGCACTCCGTCGGAGGATAACCTGGACTGTACCATCCCAGGATTACAACCTTCGGGTAACGCGTATCTTCGTTTAAATTGACGTGAAATATAGCCATGTTCATCTTCCTTTTCTTCATGTTTGCCTTCAACAATAATGTAGCTGTCAGCGGTCTTCACAGATATTTCTTCAGGTAAAAAATGCTGTACGTCTAAATTAACTTGAAATTTGTCTTTATCAGATTTGATTGTAGATCCAACATCGCGGTGCAATGCTGATAGGTTCCTCCAGGGTCGTCGATAATGACGCATGGGACGCTCAATGATGTTCGAGATTAAGTTCTCCGCCAAATCTAATCCAAACAACTCATCCTGGAGCCGTCTAGGTTCATAATCCAATAAGTATGGTATCAACGCCATCTTAATTATAATAAACACAACTCTTTTCAATTATTAAAATTTGACTAATTTATGAATGGGAAACTCGTGTTTTCTTCTTCACGCACGAACTGTACTTGATCAATAAGTTGAATGAGCTAGTACGCTGCGGTGTGCGGCTTATATAGTAAATTGTTAACATTCTCGATGTTCTGAAATATTCGAGAAAGTACTAGTTTTGTTTGAATTGAACTTACTGCCATCTAGCGGCGTCAATTAATGTTATTGAGTTAACTAGCACTGCATAAAATAATACTCTTTCCACTCGATAAGAGGTGGCGCTTTAAAGTTTTCTCGTTTTAACCGACTTCTTGTGAATGTGAATAAATTATACTTACCGGTGACCCGGTGACCTAGCCGCATTATTCAAAATATGTATTGTAAAGTTAACTAAGTTTAACTGTATTTAGCGTATTTCCTAATAATTCGTGATAAGTACACAAAACCTAATCACCATCTAACGAAATCTCTCATTACATCAACACTCATCATCAACAAATAACAATAACCTCAAAATTAAGTATTTAAATTAGTATTGTTTGGTATTAATGTAAATTACGCAGAATGCAGATATGGCCATCCAAGTATACAAATAAATACCTGTAGCAAAGACAATTAAAGATAAAGGCTATTCTTTATAATATTTTAATTTTCTGGGTTGATATAGGTACCTACCTATGTAAGTTTTTGGTTTATGTAGTAGACTCGTCTGTTATTTCTGAATAGATACCAGAGTCCAGACCCTCTGTTATATTATCTTGTCTGCCTGCCTATAGACATCATTTTACAAGTTCTCATGAATTTAATGAAATATATGTTTAAAGTAAGCATTTAAAATAAAAGGGTATATTTTAATTTCAGTGTACCCTGCATACGTATTAGTGTGTATTTTCAGTGTATATTGCTGTATAGCAAGATACATTTTACAATACACAAAATAGTACCATATTACATCAGCCTTGCTCTGACATTATACTTTTAATAACCTATATTTTTAACACCTCCAAGGAATAAACTTAGGTACTAATAATACCTAGGTATGAGTAGAGGTACTTATATAAATTAAACAATAGTTAATTATTTAATTGGTGAAGATATATATAAAGAATGTAGAAGTATATTTCCGGTAAGGTTTAAATAACCAACAAACTTATCATACACGAGGAAGAAAATGTTTAGTTACCTAGGTAATGCCTAGGTAACTTAATCATACTTTGAATTTAAAAAGGCTTTTTATTAGGCTTATTTTATTTAAATCGTGATCAAAAATACGGAAGCGACACTTTCATAAAAAATTCGGTAACTTACAAGTCAGTGCGTATTAAAATTAAAAATGAAGTAGTTAGTAAGTATGATTACAAACCTAAATTCAAAGTTAAAGGGCATTAAATAAAAAAATCAATAATTATCGAAGAATTATCTAGAATATTTTAGCGCCACTTCGACTAAACATGTTAGATCCGGATGTAGCTAGCACTCCTGGTGGAAAAAAGTAGAACAATATACCGGAAACAGTACGAATGTTCTAGATCATTACTTAAAACTGGAAAAACCTTATGATTTATGAATGAATATGCTTCGTAAATGAATAAGATATACATTATCACTTAAAATGCCTCTTTTGAACACATTGTAATACTATAGTTGTTGATATTGACGATTTTGCTAATAATTTCATGGAATGTTCTCGAATTCTCCAGAATGTTCTATACATCTTAAGCTTTATTATTAGTGCGCCATCTATTGATGGATAGCACATATAAAAAGTTTTTGCATAGATCATAAACCTTTTTAGGATTTAATGAATTGAAAAGATTCAACGTTATAAATTTTTGTAATATAATGTTATTAGATTTAGACGAAAACCGCTAGAAGTAATTTTCCTCTAAACATTAAATAAAATTGTTTTTAAGTTGTGTTTACCCTAATAACTTAAAATGTTGCTGTGATACCGCACTATACTGCGGTATACTTATGACAGTATATGTACATAGTAACATAATATGTGATTGATGTTAATTGTTAAGAATGTATTCTCACATTTTTTTATGTTTATGTGATTGTTTTTATATATATCTATAGTTTGAGATTCCTTGTGCCGACTAAACCACACATATAATAATTAATGTAACGATTTGTGCGTTTAAACAATATGTTTTTATATACAGAAAAGGTTGATAGCAACTGGAATAGGCTTCAAATTTATAAATTTCTATCTGCTAACAGATGTCGCTTACGTACACCATGTATAAAAACGAATTTCCTCGACCAGCCGGCGTCATTTGTTAAATACAAGCGAAGTGTTAGTACGAGTGCTATTTGCTGCGATAATTCACCACGTGTTTTTGAAACCGCGCCTTTATCTGAGAGTTTTAGTAGTATTCACTTAAATTATCAAAATGCCTGAAGAAATGGAGACACAGCCAGCGGAGGTTGAGACCTTCGCTTTCCAGGCGGAGATCGCCCAGCTTATGTCGCTGATCATCAACACATTCTACTCCAACAAAGAAATTTTCCTTCGTGAGTTAATATCGAACTCTTCTGACGCTTTGGACAAAATCAGGTATGAATCTCTCACTGATCCATCAAAGTTGGATAGCGGCAAGGAGCTATACATCAAAATTGTGCCAAACAAGAGCGAAGGCACTTTGACTATCATCGACACTGGTATCGGCATGACCAAGGCGGATTTAGTCAACAACTTGGGTACCATTGCCAAGTCTGGCACAAAAGCCTTTATGGAGGCCTTACAAGCCGGCGCTGACATAAGCATGATTGGTCAGTTTGGTGTGGGTTTCTACTCATGCTACTTGGTAGCCGACCGCGTCACTGTACATTCCAAACACAACGACGATGAACAATACATGTGGGAATCGTCAGCGGGTGGTTCATTCACAGTCCGCTCAGACCCCGGCGAATCCCTTGGCCGTGGTACTAAGATCGTTCTTCACATTAAAGAGGATTTGGCTGAATTCATTGAAGAGCAAAAGATTAAAGAAATTGTTAAGAAACATTCTCAATTCATTGGCTACCCCATCAAACTGGTAGTTGAGAAAGAACGTGAAAAGGAATTGTCTGATGACGAAGCTGAAGAGGAAAAGAAGGAAGATGATAAAGAGGATGAGAAGCCCAAGATTGAAGATGTAGGAGAGGATGAGGATGAGGACAGTAAAGACAAAAAGAAGAAAAAGAAGACCATCACAGAAAAGTACAGTGAAGATGAAGAGTTAAACAAGACAAAGCCCATCTGGACTCGGAATGCTGATGATATCACTCAAGAAGAGTATGGTGACTTCTACAAATCTCTCACAAATGATTGGGAAGACCACCTTGCAGTCAAACACTTCTCGGTTGAGGGTCAACTTGAATTCCGTGCTCTTTTGTTTATCCCTCGCAGAGCTCCATTTGACCTCTTTGAAAACAAGAAACGCAAGAACAACATCAAGCTGTATGTACGCAGAGTTTTTATTATGGACAACTGTGAAGACTTAATCCCAGAATACCTGAACTTTGTCAGGGGTGTAGTTGACAGTGAAGATCTGCCACTTAACATTTCCCGTGAAATGTTACAACAAAACAAAATTCTCAAAGTAATTAGGAAGAACTTAGTAAAGAAATGCCTGGAGCTTTTCGAAGAATTAGCTGAAGACAAAGAAAACTACAAGAAATACTATGAACAATTTAGCAAGAATCTTAAATTGGGTATCCATGAGGATACACAGAATCGTAACAAATTAGCTGACTTGTTGAGGTACCACACATCTGCATCAGGTGACGAGTCATGCTCTCTTAAGGAATATGTTTCACGCATGAAGGAGAACCAAAAACACATCTACTATATCACTGGTGAGAACAGAGACCAAGTTGCTAACTCTTCATTTGTTGAAAGGGTAAAGAAGCGTGGTTATGAAGTGGTTTACATGACTGAACCTATTGATGAGTATGTAGTACAGCAAATGAGGGAATATGATGGAATGACTCTAGTGTCTGTCACAAAGGAAGGTCTAGAACTTCCGGAAGATGAGGAAGAAAAGAAGAAACGTGAGGAAGACAAAGTCAAGTTTGAAGGTTTATGCAAAGTTATGAAGAACATTCTTGACAACAAAGTTGAGAAAGTTGTTGTATCAAACAGGCTGGTTGAGTCACCTTGCTGTATTGTAACTGCCCAATATGGTTGGTCTGCTAACATGGAGCGTATCATGAAGGCTCAGGCTCTCCGTGATACATCAACAATGGGCTACATGGCTGCTAAGAAGCACCTTGAAATTAACCCCGACCACTCAATTGTTGAGACATTAAGGCAGAAGGCTGATGCTGACAAAAATGACAAAGCTGTCAAAGATCTTGTCATCCTTTTGTATGAGACTGCACTCCTGTCATCTGGTTTCACTCTTGATGAGCCCCAAGTTCATGCTTCAAGAATCTACCGTATGATCAAGCTTGGTCTTGGTATTGATGAGGATGAGCCTATTCAGATTGAGGAGGCAAGCGTTGGAGATGTTCCACCACTAGAGGGAGAAGCTGATGATGCATCTCGCATGGAAGAAGTAGATTAAAGCCGCCTAAACTTGTGTTTCTGCTTGTCTGCTGATGTACAGCCAAAGACTGATTTAGTTCAAATTCCACTTAAAGTATTAAATTAATACTTTTTTTCTCAACTGAAACATTTTGTGTATTTGTTAGCACATTTCCAATGGTTTAGCATGTAAGCTACTTTAAAAAAATCCTACCTAAATAAACAACCGTATCAATTATATTTTCTTTTATTTATAAGGCCCTTATATAACAGACACCATTACTCCTTCAATCCATCAATAAATAAGGCATAGATAGGTAATGAAAGATACTAACATCCTGTTCATTTTTCAATTCAATATAAAGCCTCTATACCAATTAATATAATCTGTTCAGAACATGTGCATAGTTACTTGATAGGCTCCTAGAAAAATACTTATTAACTTTCAATAAACAAAAATTCGGATGATTTACTCGATTCTAATTAAGCTATTTTAAACTATGATAACCCAATAGTCCTATGTATGTATGCATGTATAATTTCAAAATGACAGTTTTAGGTTGGAAAAAGGATATAAGAAGCAGTCATTAATTCCATATACCTACGATTGTTTATAATATATCTATAAGTACTGATCTAAAGCCAGTGTTTCCATTTTAAACGAATATGAACAAAAAATTACGCCTGGCAAGAAATTTATTCAATCTTATATGCCGGTTAACAACGCGAAACCTTGTATCTGCAGCAAGCAGTGAAAACTAGGTCACACCTTTTTTTTAAACATTATTTACTTAATTATATGTATTTACAAAGATTTGTTATGAAGAATAATAATAATAAACTCAACTTAAAAATTCCTTCACCTGTAGGAAGCTACACTAACCAGGAGTAACTACTATATTTAATTAAAAAGGATTTTTGCAGGTGTTTTCAATAATAACATCTAATATAATAAACACATATGTATTACCAAAACAATGTGCGTAAGGTCTATCTATCTATAATGCGATGGATTTGTTTTATTCGTCTCCAAACAATTCCACAATATTCACGTCATGTAGAAACCTCTTTTTATCTCTTGTTAATTGTTTACAATAAATATTGTGGTTCGCATTTAAAACATCCGTTTACATAATCACTATTCAATTTAATTGAATGTTTAGGGAATTAGCAAGTAAAAAGTAATGTCAGAAAAAATATACATATTAAGTATCTACTACTACTAATACTTTAAACTTTTATTCGCTAATTGTTTTGATCACCGTACTCTTGGATTATCTTAGCAGTTGCTACTTCTGAAAATCATGAGGTAGCATTTTTAATGGTATTTTTTTATTTTATTTTTATCGTCGCAAAAATTATTACACGTTAAACATCATTGACGTAACTTCGTACCTACGCCCAAGTCTAGAATGTTATATGTTTTCACTTTCTGGATCGTTCTACGTGTTTGTCGATGCACCGCAAAGGTTCACGGCGCAAGCGCGCAGCTAATCTTGCTACCATGAGTCGTCGAGAATCGAATTTTCTAGAACTTTATTTTACACAAAAATATAAATTTTTAAAAGAAATATTCATTATTTTATAATAATATGCGAAAAAAATATTTATTATAGATTAACCATTAAACACATAGGACTTCTTTTTTTAATTATTGTTGTACTTTATAAGGTTAAACAGTTTCAAGCACTCAATCAATCACTCTTTGTAACATTCATTTATTTATTATGTCACGTGATAAATGTATCATTTTGATTAAATTTAATTTAAAACTAAGTAGATGCCTAATTCTAAGCATTGAGTGTACAAAATTGTAGATTACCGATTTATTCGATTTAAGTTTTAAAGAAATTATGTAATGTTCGGGGTTCAGAAAAGGGGGAGGTTTGAATGAATACGATAGCAGGTCGTTATATATTATATATATTATTGGTTTATACTTTATAGTTTATACACAACATAATTATATGTAACAGCCACAACTGGAACTACAGAGTGATCTGCCAGAACTCTTGACTACAGGGATGGAGCCAATTAAGACAAAAATAAAGTCGTTGGTCGATAAATGGACTACTACTACTACATATATATAGGTATATCCATTTACATATTAAGTTACAAATACTTATAGGAATATTAAAAATATATATGTATACACATACAACTTATATCAATATATGTATATATATCAACTTATATAAGTAGTATATATTTTATGTCGATTAAAATATTATACAGTCAAAATCTGTTATAACGACATCAAAGGGACTACTCATATTTAATCGTAAAAACCGATAGTCGTAACAGCCGATGACGTTGTTATTAAGTACCTAATACAATAGAATTCAGCCGGGACCTTTGATTTTGGTCAATATAACCGGTATGTTGTTCTAAACGATGTCGTCGTAAACGATTTTGACTGGTAATTACATAATTTAAAAAATACAATATTTTTAAAATATAAAGGCCGATTGACTTAAAATTTTTAATAGAAATGTGACTAATATTAATAAATAACTAATATATACATAAAGAACCTTATCCTAGTTGTAAGGACCTCTACCAGACCACTCCATTCTCCAGGGATGTCCTTCGTAAAGTCTAAATCCAATTGTCACCCTGTATTTTTAATTTCACCATACCATATTTTCCAGTTGCTGTTTATAGGAATATAAAAATGAAAATATTTAAAAACCTAGAAATTATTTTTTTATTTCTTTTTTAAACAAGTTTAACAGTTATTTATTATTATAAAAAAATAATTTTCTTTCTTCTATTGAGGGAAATGCTTGTTTGTGGGACACAGATGCCTGCTTCGGATCGACAGAAGTTCTTTAAAGTAGTGAAAATTTATGCTGAAATATCATAATTAAATACGTATTATCTAAACAAATAACATTATAATTTTTTTAGATTTTCTGATGAAAATTTTAATGCCATAGTAGGTATGCCATACTTGACATAATTATTAATTAAATAAAAAAAACATCTCCAGCACTCAGCAGGGACGAACGGCTGGTGTATAAATAATTTTAAGTCTAATAACATCTGCATTAGTCATAGAATCATCATGGGCACTAAAATTAACTTCTTCCAAAATAGCTTCCTACGTCAAATCTTATAATAAAAATAACATCAACATCATAATTGTTTCTTTTTATTATACAAAAGAATCTAGATTAATCAATCTACAAAAGATGCTTATTATCAAAAATAAACAGTATTGAGAATTCTAGAATAATCTAGTAAAATCTTGGTGCGCGGAGAGTTCCCTTATTTATTTATGTTGCATATACATGCACATTGCACACACACATTAACAATTTATTCCATTTTCATGGACGCATTCATAGTTTTGTATTGTATACAAACAGGACTTTCTGTCTCAGTCTCACAACTGTAACAGCGCATATATGCTATCTCTACTAAATTTTAAATGTGTGCATTGACTGTAAGTGTTGCCATTCCGATTTTTGTAATTTCCTTATTCTTTACTTAAAGTGATTTGGGAACACTAACGCTAAATATAATAATTTATAATACATATTTACAAAACATATTATATTCATAAGTATTCAAAGTACTATTGTAGATAATCAGAGCAGTGTTGGCCTAATAGCTTTAGCGTGCGACTCTCATCCCTGGGGTCGTAGGTTCGATCACTGACTATGCATCAATGACATCAAGACTTTATGTCTATCTCGTATTTAACACTCATGCGTACGGTGAAGAAAAGTGTCAGTCACAGTAGGTTGATCACCTACTTGCCTTAGAAATGATCACGGATCAGATACAAACATCTGAGACCCAGACCTAAAAGGTTGTAATGCCATTGGTATGTAATATAGATAATATTTTTTTTAATATGGTGTTAATCTACGTGACGATTTTGCAATACAAATATTGCCCCAAAAATTTCTTATTAATCGGCAAATCCCCTTGATGTGGTATCCCTATTCTTTTACCCTCTATACGTTCTGGCCTGTGATTGGTCGAATCGGTATATTCCAGAATGTTCGAAGAATCCACTTATATGATTGGTGTTTCTAGAATGATGTAGTGCGTTCAGGACGGCGATTTGTTTTCATATATAAGCTGAAACAGCGCGCGGGAAGTCAGACTAATTCGAAATACGAGAGAGTGAACAAGTGATATTCGGTGAGAAACGAGGCATATAGTATCTTGCGAATATTTTCCTGTGAAGTTTGTTGAAGTATTATATATTCAGTGATATTGTTTATCAGAAGACACAATGCCAGCTATTGGAATTGATCTTGGTACAACCTACTCTTGCGTTGGTGTTTGGCAACATGGAAATGTGGAGATCATCGCAAATGACCAGGGCAACCGAACAACACCATCGTACGTCGCATTTACGGACACGGAGCGTCTGATCGGCGATGCTGCTAAGAACCAAGTAGCTTTGAACCCTAGCAACACAGTGTTCGATGCGAAAAGGCTGATCGGCCGTAAATTCGACGATCCCAAAATTCAACAGGACATGAAACATTGGCCTTTTAAAGTTATCAATGACTGCGGTAAGCCTAAGATCCAGGTTGAATTCAAGGGCGAAACAAAACGATTTGCCCCAGAAGAAGTCAGCAGCATGGTTTTGGTGAAAATGAAGGAGACAGCTGAGGCCTACCTTGGATCATCAGTGCGAGATGCCGTTGTCACAGTGCCCGCCTATTTCAATGATTCACAGCGTCAGGCGACCAAGGATGCTGGGGTTATTGCTGGAATAAATGTTTTACGTATCATAAACGAGCCCACTGCCGCTGCTCTGGCATATGGCCTAGACAAAAATCTAAAGGGCGAACGCAATGTCCTTATTTTCGATCTTGGTGGCGGCACATTTGACGTTTCCATTTTGACGATCGACGAGGGTTCGCTTTTTGAAGTGAAGGCCACAGCCGGAGACACACACCTTGGAGGTGAAGACTTTGACAACAGGCTCGTTAACCACCTAGCGGAGGAGTTCCAACGAAAATACAAGAAAGATTTGCGCACGAACCCACGCGCATTGCGACGCCTCCGCACCGCCGCAGAGCGGGCCAAGCGCACTTTATCATCTAGCACCGAGGCCACGGTTGAAATCGACGCGCTATACGAAGGTATTGATTTCTACACTCGCGTATCTCGGGCTCGGTTCGAAGAATTAAACGCTGATCTATTCCGGGGCACCCTCGAACCAGTGGAAAAAGCATTAAAAGATGCTAAGATGGATAAGAGCCAAATACATGACGTGGTTCTCGTCGGAGGGTCCACTCGTATTCCTAAGGTACAATCCCTGCTACAAAACTTCTTCTGTGGTAAGAAACTTAACCTTTCCATCAACCCCGACGAGGCTGTAGCATATGGAGCGGCGGTCCAGGCAGCTATTTTGAGCGGCGAAACTCACTCTAAGATCCAGGATGTGTTATTGGTAGATGTAGCGCCGCTGTCACTTGGCATAGAAACTGCTGGAGGAGTCATGACCAAGATAATTGAACGTAACTGCAAAATCCCGTGCAAGCAATCGCAGACATTCACCACCTATTCTGACAACCAGCCTGCTGTAACTATCCAAGTGTATGAAGGTGAACGAGCAATGACAAAAGACAACAATCTCCTTGGTACTTTCGATCTGACAGGCATACCACCTGCACCGCGGGGCGTGCCTAAAATCGACGTCACATTCGACATGGACGCCAACGGTATTCTTAATGTCTCGGCAAAGGAAAACAGTACTGGTCGTAGTAAAAATATCGTGATAAAGAATGATAAGGGACGTTTGTCACAGGCTGAGATTGACAGAATGCTGGCAGAGGCTGAACGATACAAGGAAGAGGATGATAAGCAGAGGGAGAGGGTGGCCGCTCGTAACCAACTGGAGACATATGTCTTCAGCGTGCGACAGGCGCTAGATGATGCTGGAGCGAAGTTACCAGACCAAGACAAAGATTCTGCACGATCACAATGCGACGAAGCGATAAAGTGGTTAGAGAACAACACTTTGGCCGAGAAGGAGGAATACGAGCATAAGTTGAAGGAGCTCCAGAGAGTTTGCTCACCCATTATGAGTAAGCTACATGGTGCTGGTGGTGCCGCCCCTGGAAGCCAATCAAATGGACCCACCGTAGAGGAAGTGGATTAAACCTAGTATTAAGAACTAATAGTTTTAATTATTTTTTAAGACTGATTAATTTATTCGACTGCAGTGTTAAAACATATGTTTTAATAAACATTATTTAATTTATATGATTTGGTTTTTATTTGCTCTATAAGGACATTCTTCTCTATAATCATATTTATTTAGGAAAGACAAATTGAAATAATATAGGTTTGCTATGTATATTTAGCAAACTTTTCAACAATAAATATCTTATATCTAGTCTTTCTCAAATCGAAGTAATCAAAATTTAGCTGTATAACAAACATTAAGTTCATCATATTTTAAAGTTTTATAATTTCCCGCGGGGAGTACTTTAGCTATTGGTCACTAGATGGAGCTTTGAGAAGTAAAATGACAAAATATAAAATATTATATTTTTTATAACGAAATATAGCTAACATAATATTATATTTATAAATCAGTTTGTTACAATTTATTAATATTAACACTTATTTATATTATCCAATGGCCGCGAGATGGCGCGATGCCAAAACATTTACTGTTCACTTAAAATATAGCTGTCTCATTGCCAACAGGAATAAGGGCCGTGTCGACCCCCGGCAGCCCGTATATGCGAAACCTATGAACCTATGCGTCTCTCTTACGATCCTGTCTATTAATTTTGACCGAAATAAATGTTCTCCAGATTTATATCATTTAATAACATTTTCCTAAATAGGTAAAACCAGTTAACCGCTTGCCAATGACTGCAAAAAATATAACGTGAATATAATTTTTACATACTTTATTTATGATCTTATATCTAACTGTGTACTTAGATATCAAGAATACACATTTTTTTTTTATAATACTGATTTAACAATAGTTAAACGTAATAACGTATGCTGTTTAAAAACCAAGAGTCTAAAATGTGTAAGAATATAAACATACTAAAATTATATTACATAATAAAATATGCACTAAAACAATAATGATAATAATAATAATGGATAATATAAATAAGTGTTAATATTAATTAATTGTAACAAACTTGTTTTTAAACCTAAAGCATATAATATTATGTTAGCCATATTTCGTTATAAAAAATATGAAATATAATATTTTATATTTGTCATTTTATTTCATCCACTGCCAAGCATAAGTAGTGTTTATTACTTAATTACTTTCGGCAACTAAAGATAAAGCTTGGTCCAATATATTTGTATAATTCTTGCACAATACTAAATTCGGTCGTTTTCGGTCGTTTAATATTAAATTTAGACTATGGATAGCACACGGTACAAAGCGCGTGGATTTAGATTTAGCAATCTTTTTTAATTGATTCCGCGCATATTTGGTTATCATAGAACTTGGTTTTCTGCTATAAATAGAAGATAAGATTGACTTTCCTACATATATTTTTTAATTTATAACATATTATTTTGTTTGGTCTAAACTTAGGTAATATTTTAAACGGATAGTTTAATTCCTAATGATATAGGAAATTTATTAGTATTTATTTCTTTTAATATTGTTATTGTTGTCGAGTTTCGCCGTGCGGTCGACTGCTTAGAGCTGCCGGACCCACCATACACGGACCGCTACAAGCGGTTGCTGCCGACCGCGCGCCACTCCCTCAAATAAAATAAAATACTAACTAATTCATCAAATGAAACCACGGACATTCTTTAGTAGTTGAAAAACTTTTTAGTGTCTTCTCTCATTTTGGCATACAAAGTATGAAATATTCCATGCTGTTCTCTTGATTGTAGTATTGGACGCATCCACATGCTAAGGTGTCTTCTACGCCTACGGTTGCGTAATAGTAGTACAAGAAACAGTGTTTCTTTATCGAAATCCATCTTGTTAATGAACTCGCATCAGTTTTATTTTGCGGTCGAACACAACTGCTCCAAGCAGTCGTAGTCGACTGCATTATGCGGTCGTGTTGCAGTCGTGTACAACTTCAACGCGACCGCTCTAGAGCAGTCGGTCTCGACTGCAACATGCGGTCCGTCTATGGCCCGCTTTAATTACATTTATATTATTATAATTTGAATTGTTAATTTCTGACACGACACGACACTTTTTCTGTCATATTTTAAATTTATTTTTATTATAACCGCAATGCAGGGCATATTTAGAGGCAACAAAGTAGTGTAACCCCAAATTATTTTCCAAATAAGATGAACAATTTTTTTCAGTCGAGTTTATCAATCATTAATTTATTGTGACACCAATTAGATTATTTTAGTATTTAACAATCATATAAAAATATACCTATGAAAAGAAAAGTTTTGTGCTAGTGTTTACTAGTCGGAATTTCAAACATTATTTTTCCTTGGTCTCGTGGCTGTAATGTGTTAAAGTTATTTTATAAATTGTTTAGTTCTTTACAAAACTGTACAATAACAATTATATGACTTCTATTCAATGTAACTTTTGAATATCATTCGACTAAACATTCAACCCACCAGCTTTCGAGCGCAGTTTTAGCAAAGTAATCGTTTGTTTCTGAAATGGCGGACGTATTATAACAGTTTTATATGTAGATTAACCACACAAACATGCTCAATCTAATCATAAAATCATACACTTAAAAGATAATAACGATTAAAGTGGCCTTTTCGAAGGCAGACGCATGTGTGCAGTTAAATCAATAATGTTAAAAAATGAAAACGGATAAAGCGAACAGTGAAAATGGTTATAAACCATTTGTTAGACAGGTATGTTTTAATTATATAAAACCAAATTTGCGGTTAAAAAATTTAATAATGTAAATTTATTTTGGAATTAAGATTTTTTTCTTAGTTTTATAAGCGTGGCGATTACCTGAATCGTGGGAGTTACGCCCCGAGAGTATAGCCAGACGCAGGCATTTTCTTCTACGGTTACATTGCATTCATCAATTAATTTTATTTGCTTTTCTACCGTTGTACGTAAGTGGTTTATATAGAGTAAAAATAAAATCCTTTATTATTTAAAGCACTCCGATGTCCCAGGAACCGTTGTTGGGTCAGAGTTTACGCGAAATGTATACTTGTTCGTGGTTAAAGAAATAATTTAATAATCTAATTCATTAATTATTAATTTCGGAATTTGGATTTTTCAAAGGTACAAATACATGTATACTAACGAATTTTACATGTATTGTTGGCTCAAATTGAATTTCATAAAATGTATATTTTGTTTGGCTAATTTCTCCCCCTTTATCAAGATTCTTTATATGAACACTTAACATTTATAAGACAACTAGCAGACCGGCCAAGCCTTCCTGTGGCTAAGGTTTTTGTTATATTACATAGTAGCAAACTATTCAACGGAAACGGTATGAGAACACCAGTCATGGGGACCACCATGCTTTTTTGGTGGTTATGCCATTAAATTGTAACTTATGTGAAACGTTGGTACTTTCTACACAGCGCCATCTGTTAGAATTGTGACTATAAATAATATTTTGCAATAAAATAATATTGCGGGTATAAATTGAGATGTAAGCTATCCTATCTTCTAAGTTGGATCAAACTACACACGGTGTGCAAATTTGATTGATATCGGTTCGGTAGTTTAGGAGTCCATAGCGGACAAACAACGTACGTAATATATTAAGATTTTAAAGCCTTTTACATTTTAGTACTTTCAGTTTAAATACACAACCATGCACTTCAGTATTTAGTTTATTTAAATACTGAGAATAGACAAAACGAAGTAACCATAGATGATAGAGCAGACATTGCAGTTGTTTAATTTTTGGAAGGCGAAATAATTTTGTCCAAAGATATTAATGATTTTTTTTAATACCTAACTACGTAGTCTTGTGTCTCACAAGACACTTGAATGAATATATTAAAGATTGTTATGTGCTATTAAAAACACATTACTTTCACGAGGAAAGCCTAGGCTATTACTACATAAACTATTGAATAATTTTTGACGCCCTCATGTCTCAGTGACAATACAAAAACCTCGCATATTGCTTCAAAGAACTTTTAACCTACCGACTCCCAGAAACAACATTGGGTTCCGTGAGCCTCTTCACAGGATGTGTTCTGCCTTGGATTCTGCCACTAAAATTAAGTTTTAAGAATAAGTTAAAACACTTAATGTCTTAATCTTCCTTGTTTTTTTTTATATAGCTGATAGTTTGTTTGTCGTTCTCCTAATTTATAAATTTTGTGCGGTCATGTTTTGTCTTGTTTTACTTTGTATTATATTTTTTATCAGTGAAACTTTTTGTGGATATGTCCAATGTGTTTATTTTATGTTTTACTTTTATTTACTGTATAGAGATGTATATGTTTAGTTTCCTTAATAAATAAATAAATAAAGCGCTTTCGCGAAGCACCATTTATTATATTTCCAATAAATCCACGATCTAAGCCACGAAATTTAATGCCCGAACAACTTATTTAAGGAAAAATACGGCTATGAAGTCCATTTATTTTGATTGGTGAACTTAAAGGTCTGTGTATTAAATACTTTTGGAAAAAATATATTATGTCTATTATTTGCGTCAAACATTATAATTAATATTAATTTGATAACGTAATAATATATTTTAATAATGTGATAATGGAGTGATAAAATAATATAAGAATTGACTGTAATGATATAACTCATGATGTAATTGTAACTTTAATTCCTTTTAATACAAGTTTGCACAACTGTGTGGGAGAATATGCGAAAAAATTGTACTACCATAATATTTTTGTAACATTCTTGGAAAAAAATGCCATGAATTGTTAGACGACTAAGTCGTCTTTTCGAAAATTAATGATCCATTATTATGTACTTCCTTCCGGGAGCAGAGAAATAGAATAATTGAATTGAAAAACTGTGAATCGAAAAGAAATCTTTTGAATTTTTTTTTATCTTTAAAAAATTAACATTCTGACATTGTTTATGATATATGATAGTATATTGATAAGTAGGTAAAACAGTAGCGAACATTTGCGGAATTTATTTTTGAATTTCAGAATCTACTTTTGTAATAGCTGTTATAATAGCTGTCAGCTTTTAATTTCTCTACATACATTGAGGAGTGTTGGCCTAATGCCTTCAGCGTGCTCTGGGATCGTAGGTTCGATCTCCAGCTGTGACACAATGGATTTCTATGTCCCGATTTAAAACGCTCTTACGGTGTAGGAAAACATCGTGATGCCAAAAACCCAAAAAAGTCGATGGTGTGTGTCAGGCACAGAAGGTGGATCACCTAATTGCCTCAGAAATGATCACGGAATAGATACAAAAATCTGAGGCCCAGACCTAAAAGGCTGTAGCGCCATTGGTATATACATTTATCGCTTGTTTGGTGTTTCGTAAAACCGTTCACAAATAAATATGAATGGATCGTTTAATTTGTAACTATTTATTAAATCTTTATTCTCCAATGTAACTAGAATTAGAATGTATTAGGCGCAATAGCCTTAGGAGTATGACATACATACAGAACATCGCTATCAAAGGAAAAACTGTTTGGTGAACGTTTCTGAATGGGAATTTTAATTATTATATTTTTTAATACGTACTTTTTACGCATTTTAAGAAAAACATTCCGTTGGGATTGAAATAAAACAATTGAAAGGCGAATTTGCTTGATCTTTTGAACCTGGGGGCTTTGGGGGCAAATTTAGGGGGAATCAAGATGTCCAAGGGGTTTTAAGGTGGTACTTTATTTTACGAAATTTCTTTTTTACTTAAAAAATGCACGATTCTATAGCAAGCCTCGAAGCATAACAATAAACTAAACCTTAACTCCAAACAGCTATTAATGAAATATCAAAAAGTTACTAAATACTCCAAGATCGAAATAACAGCTAATAGTATTCGAATATATTTCAAGTGCATATTTGAAATTACCGCTCAAACGTGTACAACAAACACTTTAGCGGTTTTTAATCGATATTTAGGGTTTTTGTAGATCCTATTTGGTCCTATTTCACATTGGATATAAAAAACTCTAAATAAAAACCTCTTTACTTCAAAAAATACTATGTTCCCTTCCCATCAACAACCTCTATAACTAAAATACGAACCTCTATAACTAAATAATAATCTCTGTATAGGCCCTCAGTAACTAAAAGAAATGTTTCCACAACCTCTATAACATAAAATTGTTTGTGAATGAGTCATTTTAAAAGTGTCAAAATAAATGGTTTCGGTATTTATTCTTGCACTGTTTACTAATGTATTGTTAATAAAAATACATTACCTATTGTTTGCTTTATCTAAATTTTCAAAGCTTTCGCGTTAGCTTTGTGACAACGATTACTTCATCATAAGTTTTTGATCGTTGTCCTGGAAGTAATGTGAATAAATATGATTACATATTTAATTTTCAGTATTTTATTGAACCCATCCTTCTGATGCATTCGAGTAAAAATGGGAGCAAGGGTACATAGAAACATATACATACATCTATATTAACCTTTACCTAACATAGAACCTTGATAACTTAAAACCTCTATAACTTAAAATATTTTGTGTTTCCCTTGGACTTTAGCTTATCGAGGTTCTACTGTATATATTATATCAACCCCAATTTTCGGAAGCAATCTTTAAATCATATGATGTATAGTATGTATTTTATTTTTATGTTGTTCGAAAATTGACATCCGGATGCTCGTTTTATTTCTACTATGACACAAAAACTAACAGTTGCTAGGTGATTTCAAAAGATATGCACACATTTATTATAAATTAATCTATGACGCATTTGGAATTTGGTTACGCGAAATTGATATTTTCATACATTACGAAGGCCACACGTTTCGCATTTATCAATTATTAAAGATACTTCAAAGTTATTCTTGGGTAATTAAAACATATGTAAACAAAAGCAGAGTAGGCGGAAAATAAGAAACGGCTCAAATATGAGAATCTTTCCTCTTTGATTTTGTTCCCTTTGGAGTAGAGATTAAAGATTTAAGTTGGGCCCTACTCCCTAGTACTGGTGACTCCAGAGTTGTGCTTTCCTCGCTCAACGAATAAGTATCGCAAGTTAGCGAGGAATCCTGGCATTAAAGGTACACTGCCACAGGAACCAATTTTTTAATTTTTGTCTTAGTTTTCTATTTATCCATTTTTAATTATTATTATTACTATGTAGGTTATTATTAAGCCTTTATTGCTGACACCCAGTATAAATATATGAATTATGAACACTTGTTAAAATTACATAACTTAAATAATCTAATACGTACAATAGAAGTGCCAGTTTTGGTGAGTTCGGGTTATCTAAACAAATTATATTCTTAGAATCCTACAGTTAACTTTGTCTTATTTCAAAACCCGTCTCCATAACATAATTTTTCTTAATAGTTTTTCGTAGGTAAAACGACATGTATTTCAAATTAGGGTAAGAGTTGTTCAAGATGAGATTAACGTACTTTAGAGTGTGCCGTAATCTCGGGGTTTCAATATCGAAGTGTATTGATAATACATTTATTTACCTTTAAATTATCTGACAATCGACCATGATCGGTAATTACAAGAGATACCTATCAAGGATTTCCAATGATTTGGTGAAATATTATTATTAAAATCGCCAAAAAGGTTTTTTTTGATAAAATGCACCCGGGAATGACAATTATATACGCCGAAACCGTAACTGTACGACAAATTCAATTTAAAGGCTTTTTCTTGTATATATTTGAGTTGTAATATAATGTTTAAAATTATGTTGTTATGTTGGTAAAATTTATTAAAATAAATTAAATGTTATCTAAGATTATTTCTAATAGCGTAAAAACAATGATATTCCGACATATTTTTCGGTGATTTGTTCTGGAAATGGCACCAAGGTATCTTTGACAGTATGTCTAAATTGGCTGCAACTTTAGAGATTTATATAATAGCACGTGATCCGGCTGCAGGATTAGTGCGCTCATCGGTTATTTGCTAAAAACCAAATTTTTTTATTATTAGGAAAATGTATTTCTACCAAGGTGCTTATCAAAATTTGGCCGCTAGTATTTTTAATTAAATTACTTTGAATTGATTTTTGGGAAAACATTTCGTTTACTTGTTATTTAAATAAAATATCGTCTACATTTACATAAAGATTTAAAAAAATCACGCGTGCCGTTGCCCACCTGGCCGCACTTCTTTTCAGCCAGGTGTAAACAGGTATGATGTCTATACATTTATACGTTTATAACGTACATTTATTAATTATATATCAAATTGAAGCTAATTTTTTTCTATTAATTATCGTATATGGGTGCCTAGATAAATCTGGCCGCAAATAAGGGTTACCTGCTGTTAAAGATGATAAATATTTAAGGTACAGTGAAAGAGAGTTAACGCATAACATCATTTGTCAGAGGAGGATAGCGAATGCCGCCAGTGCGACGCTTTTAAGCCATTGTGCATGCGTCTAATGTTAGTGTTCTCAAACTGAATAGATGCGGCACTTTTATTCTATTATAAAAACCAAGCACCACTTTTTTTTTGTGGTAAACGGGCAGGAGGCTCACCTGATGTTAAGTGATACCGCCGCCCATGGACACTCTCAATGCCAGAGGGCTCGCGAGTGCGTTGCCGGACCACGTTAGGGTCTTGGCTTTGGCCTAGGATTCTGTATATATTTCGTGATATTTTTTTTTTTAATAGGCAAGTAGGTGATTCTGTATCTGACACACGCCGTCGACTTTTTGCTAATAAGTCATGCCGGTTTCCTCAAAACCATTTACCGTAGCCTAGTATTAATTGGGCATATAAAGTAAAAGTCCATTGGTTCGAAACTATGACTTCAGGAATGAAAGTCACACGATAATTTTAAAATATATTTTTAATTTCCAGTGTTTCCTGACCGCAAGCGTGGCGTTGAACATCGTCGCTCATGGCTGCGTGATTGGCTTCCCAGCGATCCTCATACCAGCTCTACGACTTCCTGATTCAGAAATAAAGGCTACTGCTAGCCAGGAGTCATGGATAGGTATAGACTTATTGTTAAAATGAAATATCACCTTTATAATAGCTGTGCTCTGCGGTTTCACCCGCATGAATACAGTGGTAACACGATGTTCTATGCCTAAAGCTTTCCTTGGTAAATGTACATTTAAATGGAAACATATTTTTTTATTTTTGAAGTTATACTTCTTTAGGCGCGTTATGAAAAATTTATGAGAGTGAAATTTTACGATGCGCGCGCACTGTATCAAAAAATTTACAGAATGAAGTTGCCCACGGAAGATGCTACGGCATTGGACATAATTTAAAAACAACATTCGAATAATAATAGAATTTATGTTACATTTAATGTAAGAGAATAATAATAAATATTTATTTATTTAATTTTTCAAATGTAAACTGAACTTTATTGACTATAATGACTCCTTCTCCAGTCTTTGATTATTTAATTGCAATTAATTATTTGCTTGCAATCAAAAACTATTTTTAATAATGCCAAAGAAGTATAACTTTTACGCGCGTACATAAGTATTTATACTTATGGTATCGCGGACTTTTAATATGTCTATGTCTTGTAAAATATTCTATACCCTATGTGCATTGGCAAACAAACAATCGAATTCAAGGCAAACCCAACTATTTCAAAGTCCTCGGTCTAATAAAAACTATTTACGTAACTCAGTCATGTATCGTATACCCTCAGATTATAACACATATTACCAGCAAATATAAATATTTAATATAACTAAAGAATGCTTTTAGTTAACGAAAACGTTAGACTAAAACGAAAAGAAATTTGATTTATTGGCATGTATTTTTTTAAATAGAAATAAATATAAAATGTTCTATTATATGTGAGCATAGTACCTAATGTTTCGGTGGCAGTAATTTAATTTATTTAAGAGAGCGTAAATCGCGTAGAACAGGCACAGATTTTCTGTACCTTTTAACATTTTTTTCAAGTTCAAAAGTAATATTTGGGAAACTGGCTGCAACGTTTTAATTAACCTTATCACTTTCCAAAGAAACGTGTAATAAAATCTCGAAACAATAGCCTGGACTGTTTTACTCATAAGTCTGTAAACATATTTCATTGCTGTAATCTTTACAGCAATGATAATGCTTTAATATCAATGTGTGTCTGTCCGATTATATCAATGTCATTGTTAATCACTATTTACTTTCAGCTTCCATTGTTGGATTCGCGTTGATCATGGGAAACTTCATCATTACACCCCTTATGGATGGCGTGGGTCGAAAAAAATCTCACTTACTAACAATCCTACCAATCTTTGCCGGCTGGTTTAGTCTACTAATGGCAGAGAGCGTCACCTGGCTAATTTTAGCCAGGTTTCTTCAGGGAGTAGCTATGGGAATGCTGGGTCCTCTAGGGTCAATCATAATAGCTGAAATGACAGACCCAAAAAACCGAGGAGCCTTCCTTACATCCGTCTCCCTATCATTGACTATTGGAGTTCTGTTTTCCCATTCTTTGGGGGCGTTTTTTAGCTGGCAACAAAGCAGTTTAATATGCTCATTTATAACCTTCACTAGTTTGATACTTATCATCTATAATCCTGAATCACCATCCTGGTTGATTTCTAAAGGAAGATATCAAGAAGGTGAAGAAATTTTCTTTTGGTTGAGAGGCAGAACACCTGACCAAGAAACGGAGTTTGAAAACATGATAACTGCTCAAAAATCGTTACGAAAATCGAGTATTCTTGGACAGGACGTGTCGTTCAGTGTACGCTTGAGAAGATTTTGTATTTATGTAAATCAGACATTTAGAAAACCTGAATTTTATAAGCCTATAATAATCATGTTTGTTTTATACACAATGTTCCAATTTGCTGGAATTAACGTGATAAGTTCTTATGCTACTGATATAATACGGCAAGTAGTTGGACCTGATGCGAACGCAAAAGTCCTTATGGTCGTATTGGATATAGAAAGATTAATCTGCAATCTAGGAGCTGTGTTTCTGATGAAGACAATGAAGAGACGCACATTACTATTTAGCAGTACTGCTGTATGCATTTTTTCATATTTAGGAAAGAGTTACTACGTTTACGCAAGAGAGAATAATTCATTACCGTTCACAAGCCAATGGATCCCAATTACTTTAATAGGTTTATATATGTTTTCTTTGACTGTAGGTATATCCTCTATACCGTTTACCATATCAGGGGAAATATTTCCTTTAGAATATCGAGCATTTGGCGGCGGTATAAGTGTACTGGCGTTATCATTTAATTTCTTTGTTGCTGTTAAATCTTTCCCAGTTTTAACATCAGCAGTTGGTTTATCAATTACGTATCTCATGTATACAGGTGTGGTTGTTGTATGCCTCTCTGTCTTATATTTTATGTTACCTGAGACAAAAGACAGGACTTTGCAGGAAATAGAAGATAGTTTTAGAGGCATGTCGGCAGCAGATAGGAAGTGTGCTGAACCTTTGAATGGTACATATGACAATGGAATGCGAAGGTGCAGTTCCCATACTCTATTTTAAGCAGTAATGTAAACTAATGATTGTGATTTTTACGATTAAGGTCAACAAAGATATCATTATGTAAATCTCAATGTTATCAAATAAATATTGTTATTCTATTGGATTATTTATTATTTTATCACAAAATATAGTTTTAAATGAACATTCTGTGTCAAAATAATATTATTTTATTTATGTATACCGATATAAAACCGTAAAATTCCTCCTAACTACGTGGCCAGCTCTATAAAGCTGCAAGGCGTTCCCTAATGTTCTCTCCTCCCATCTCATCCTCCCTCTATATTCTCCAGTTCCAACATTTTATCCTTTTCGTGAGGTTCCGCTTCCCCGGTTAAATCTTTAATACCCTTAAAGTGGCATTCAATTTCATATAGCGTCTTCCCTTTCGTTTCTGGTAGTAGGAAAAACAAAAACACCCCGCAAATGGCAATACTCAATCCATAGACACAAAACGTTCCACTAACTCCAATTTGCCTGAACGATGTTGGAGCTGTTTTTACAACCACAAAGAACATGATAGATAAAAACATACCAGATATCCCACTTCCCAAAGACCTGTAGGCTAAGGGAAATATTTCTCCAGCAATAGCCCAGGGGATAGGTAAAATTCCCAATGTTTTGCCAAAAATATATATCAATGTTGGAATAACTGGTGTCCACTTATACTGTTCTGGTATATAGCCATAGTCCCTTAAATACAGAAGGAAAGATGTCGTAAGTAGGGCGGCGACACTGATGTAAATACCCATAAAGAGAACAGTTCTTCGGTTTAGCTTGTTGACAACAACACAAGAGAGAACAGCTGTAGCAAACCTAACCAAATCTACCATCAACATACTTGTATACGATTCTATACCACCTCCCGTCACTTCCTCCATCATAGGGACTGTATAAGACGGCACCACAGTCATGCCAGATATTTGGAACAGTATAAACATATACATCATTATCACAGTTGGCTTGTAGAACTCTGGCTTCCTACATATCTCTACAAAGGCCTTCAGTTTGGAGACTTTCTTCGAAGAGACTGCCTCATCGGTTTTTCTTTGACTGTCGAGTAATACTTCCAGCTCCATTTGGGAATCTTCGTCGCAGCCCCTGAGCCAGCGGAAAGACTTTTTGCATGCCTCAAATTTGCCTCTTGAAGCTAGGTATGGTGGCGTCTCTGGGACTAACGAGATCAAAAGCAGTGATATGGCGTAACAGCTTCCACAGGCCAAAGCAGCAGGTCTCCAGTACAAAAGGGTGCCAAAGACATGAGCAGCCAGCATTCCAGTTGCGAATGAGAAGGCGATTGTAGCAAGGAAAGCTCCACGATGCTTCGGCGCGGAGTACTCAGCAATGGATACTGGAGCCGCCGCTGCTTGTATGCCCATTCCGAATCCCTGAAAGAGAATTATTATTTATTAGAGATTTTTAATAGAATAGAGAGTAGTGTTGGCCTGGCAGCTTCAATGTGCGACTCTCATCCCTGAGGTCGGCACCAATAGACTTTCTGTCTATGTGCGCATTTAACATTCGCTCGAACGGTGAAGGAAAACATCGTGAGGAAACCGGCTTGCCAACCCAAAAAGTTGACGGCGTGTGTCAGGCACAGGAGGCTGATCACCTACTTGCCTATCTAATGACAAATGATCATGAAGCAGAACGCCTACCTAAAAATGTTGTAGCGCCAGTGTTTTTTTTAAAATGAATATACATGTACGATACGGTACCCAAAAATTTTTTAGCTAGACTAATGAAACTTATCAAACATTTAAGCCATACAAGTAGCAGAGGCGTTGAAAAGTTATGAGACGGCCAAATCGAGCAGTCATCGCAGCCCATGGATGCGTTGCTGGCCATTGAAGGAGGAGTATACTCTTTCTTGAAACAATTGGAGGTCGTCTCCCATCGGGAGTCGACTCCACAATTTGCTAGTTCCCAAAAGAAAGTGTCTTGTGAAGCAGACCGTGGAAGTCTTCCACGGTCCACGGCCACGAGGCAAGAGGGATCAACCCAAACTACTATTCAGTACACTACACCCTCCATAGTACACTTTGTAGAATAGGCATAGAGACGTAATGTCTCTGCGTTATTTTTTAACTGTTTTTTTTGTATGTGTATTTGCATTATGTTTTTGCACGCCGTTCGCATATATTTTCGAAGCCACACATTGGTTTTAGTTTGTATAACTGGTTTCTTTTCTTTTATGTATGGCCTTGTACGGCTAATAAATAAAATAAACCTTCAAGCCGAGTTTGGAATGACATATACATATATTTCGTGGCTCATTTCATAGCACACAGTGCGCATAGCAAGGTGCGTTCGGAGGAATAATTGTTTCGGATAAAGCTTAAAAACCATTATCACTTAAAATAATCAGTGAAATAAACACAAGTACCTACTTCACAAAATCTAAATCGATCAGGCCATTAGAATTTACTACTAAAATAAGTTATTGAGGTAGGTTAATAAATTGAAATGGGCAAAGGTATGAGGATTTTTATTGTTACTTTAGAGGCCGCCTAGGTTGATAAAATCACGACCTTGAATGCCCAACCTGAGAAACGAAAGACAAGAATACATTTAAATTAACATATAGATATTTATATTTCTTCCATGTTGGTTTAGAAGACAGAATTCATGTTCAAATAAAGATATGGAAGTGACACTTAAAGATAATACAGGTTTTTTAACCTGTGTAAACAATAGACAATAGAGTAATTGCAAATAAATCTATTATAAACTGAATATTATGCAGATAATAGAATACAAACATGTATGACGTATTTGTCTATTGTTATTGGAATGTAAACGAAAAAAAATTCTTTACTTTTTTACATGTTATCTATACTAATATTATAAAGAGCAAATATTTGTATGTAAGTATGTTTGTAACGAATTGGCTCAAAAAGTACTGGACCGATTTTGAAAATTCTTTGAATTTGAATGCTACATTATCACTATTTAATATATTATATAGGCTTTTTTAATGGCATTATATTATTATAGTAAATGGAGAGTCAATTGATTATGTGAAAGAGTACACATACCTGGGCCAACAGATCTCAACCACTGGTATAATGTCGAAGGAGATTGATACAAGAATTGGGAAAGCATGGAAATGTTACTGGGCGCTTAGCGAAATCATGAAAAACACAGAAATAAAAATAAATGTCAAATCAAAGCTGTATAACACTTGCATACTTCCAGTATTAACATACGGCTGCCAAACTTGGGCACTCACTAAAATGCAAACCAGGCATCTGAAGACATGCCAGACGGCGATGGAAAGAAGCATGCTGAATATCAGGAAGTCCGATAGAATCAATAATAAAATCATACGAAACCACACGAAGATTGAAGACGTCACAACGAGGATACGAAGATTGAAATGGAAATGGGCTGGTCACGTAATAAGAGGTATAGAAAAGTGGAACAAAAAGATCATATATTGGTACCCAAGAAATAATAAAAGAAAACGAGGTAGACAGTTTCGAAGGTGGGAAGACGAAATAAAATCCGTAACTGGGAAAACTTGGACCAGGAAAGCTCAGAACAGAGCAGAGTGGAAAGAAATGGAGGAGGCCTTTGCCAAAGTTGGGCAAACAGATGGGTTGTCGGTGTCACCGACTCAATAGTGATAATAGTTTAAGTTTAAAAAGTATGTAAAATTTTCTATCTGAATAAAGGCTTTTATTATTATTATTTTAATGGCAAGAAAAAAAGTAAGGAACCCTACTAAAACTAAAATAATGTTATCTAAGGTGTAAAAAAAATGCCTATAAAATATCTTTCATAACATGCGCTGCGAAAACTATTGATGATAGAACAAAAAATGTTCCACAATATTAAAGAGCATATCAATATCTACTGCGATACATCTACGATAGGATCCGCATCCCTAATGCTGTTGACTGTATGTATATAAGTAGTATGTATATGATTCTATGTATATAAACAAACTTTTATTATAAAAAAGATTTCTTTAGGACGCTTATGGTAATCTACATATATATCGAACCAAAAACATAATTACCTGTAAAGAGCGACTGATGAGCAGCACAGCAGGATCCTTAGCAGTGACCAGCAGGGCCCAGCCACACAACGATGGTAAAGTGCTGAGCTGGTTGGTAAGCCGACGTCCCAACTTCTGTAGGCAGAAAGGCGCTACAACTATTCCAGAAATTAAGGCCAGGCCCAGGATTGACGCTGGAAAGGAAATTGTAGGCTTAACTAAGACATTCATTAAAGAAATTATTAATTCGTAATAAACAACCTATGTTTTTACACCGCCGCCCATGGACACTCAATGCCTGAGCTCGTGAGTGCGTTGCCGGCCTTTTAAGAAGGACCTAGACTCTTTTCTTGAAGGACCCTAAGTCGAATTGGTTCGGAAATACTTTAGTGGCAGCTGGTCCCACATAGTGGTGGTGCGCTGCAGAAACTGCCTTAAAAACGCTCAGTTGTGGCGGTGGCGGACGTAGGTTGGCGGGACTTTTGTTAGGTTAGTTCGTACCCACAGTTTTTCAATAATAATAATAAAACTTTATTCATGACAGAAATATGGGTGTGACAAAAGGAGGTTCCCACACCAGGGAGCCCCTGTGTTGGGGGTGTGTGTGTAACTAGATTACAATTATTCCGTGGTACATAGTGCATGTTTAAAACATTTTTTTAATGAAAAAGTAGTCTTAGACTTAGTGTTACATCTAATCAAACACAATTCGTATAAGACCTTAAGTATACGTGAATGCATGTGTGTGCGTATATACAGATACCGGCAAACATCTTGAAGAAATGTCCTTACCTGCGCAGAAGCGATTTTTGGGTATCACTGGGAGGGGGGCAAACTTTCCCCCACTCCCTTGTTTAATGCTCAAGAAGTTTGCCGGTATCTGTATTTGAGAGTGTGGCAGAGAGTTGTTATAAGCGCTGTGTCTGTGTTAGTTTTAAATGTATACTATTGTATATTCTTAAATAATAAGTTAAAACAAAAGACATTTCGTGGGCTTTTA